TCACTTAATGTGTTAAAAGATTTAAGATGAAGATATTCAAGATTTCTTTAAACGGGAGTGATTTCAATGTAATATTTTTTTCATAAACTACAAATTATATTTTATAAAATTATATAATATAATATTTTAAAACATAATCATACAGTATAATATTTTAAAACATAAATTATTTTTTATAAAGAAAAACTATTATGGTTATCAACTTTTTTTCTTTAAAAGATAAAAAGAAACTATTCAACAATTGTAATAAACATTTTTATGGAGTATCATTTATTTGTTCAGAAGAAAACTTAAAAACATGTATTGGCTAAAAAATAACGTGAAGTTTGTCATGCAGCTCTAAAGTCATTGAGATAACATATAAGATTATAGATTTTATACAGATTCAATTAACGTAGACACTATTACAGGTTCAATGAACCTGGACACAGAGGAAAATCGGGAAATGAAATAGAGACGTTATGCTAATCTTTAAGGTACATCGCACGACGATCCTACGTGATATCTCAATTTAATATAGCCGTCGTTACGTCCTTATGACTCACCAAACATATCTTAAATACTATTTCTTTTTTTAGAAAGTATATATATAATATATTATATTTATCTAATTTGAGAAATCAAATATCCTTTTACTGGTTCTACGCATTTTCCAACTCATATACTATGACAAACTTCAAAATCAAGATAATAAATTTTAAAAAAGTATTTAATAGATTCTACATCTTATTATTTTATGAGTGAGAAGATAGCAAATGATATGAAAATATTTGATTTTTCATCTAAATTTTATTTTAGTAAACACATAAAACTAATATATTAAGATTTATATAATAACTTTATAAGGTAAAAAAATCGTGATGTAGAACAATAAATTTAGCTCACTTAAACCATTACCATTACACATTTTAATTGGTTAAAAAACATAGAAGATGTAAATGAAAGTTGATAGATTTTTTGAGATGTTTAAACCAAAAATTGATAGACATTTGATTTTTTTCATTAAAAAATGAAAGATGTAAATGAAAGTTTTAATTTTTTATTATGTTTCTAGCGGAACATTTTTTTTAAGTTATTATATATGATGTAATAAGTAGTTCATTAATTTAAATATAATATGTTTAATGTGATTGAGATGTTAAAAAACAAATTGAATTAAAAAATAATATTATAAGATTATTAATTTAAACATTTTGTTTATAAACTTTATTTATATTTTATTTATATTTTATAAATAAAATATTCTATTTTTTTCTTTATGATATCATTTTTGTGAGATCTAATGTTTTATAAAAAATTATTATTTATTTTTGACATTATCATTTAATATGTCCTAACGGTACACCCTTTTACTTTTCACCTTCAAAAATAATATTTTAAGCTAAAGAATTTAAACATTTGTGTAAAATATCTTTATTCTATTGATATTTTATAAATAAATTATTTTATTTATTTTTCTTATGATATTCCCTTTTCTGAAAAATAAAACTTTATATAAATGAATTTTTCCTAACGGAACATTTTACGCCATTAATGAACTTTTTAATGATCTCGTTAGTTAAAGTAATATATGAATTAAGTAAATATATTGAAATGGCAAAGATATAAAATAAAAGGCTAAAAAGTTACAACCAAATATATTTATATAGACAAAGGAATGTAAATTAAAATTATAAATTTTGAAAAAGATGAGGTTTTTTAGAGGTTTTCGTAATAGAAGATTTTAGTTAGGCTTGGGTGGTGTTTGTTTTTTTTTTTCTAAAAAACTTCTTCTAACTAATTATTGTTACACCGGACAGCACACGCGCAACACTTGGTCCTTTGCAGTTGTTTGTTTTTCAGAAGATTTCAGACTTAAAAATTGTTGCGCGTGTGCTGCGTGACACAGCACTTGATCATCTGCTTCAAATCTCTTGACACCTTATTTTAACTTATTGTAGCAATCTGCAGACGTTAAAAAACAAACAAACTTTTTATTACATGTTGCAGCCGTTTGGTCCTCCTCTTCTGCTACAAAGGTTTGCAGAGGTGGTCCGCAGACTTTAGACATTTTCGCTTCGAAAAAAACGATACCTTAGTATTGCTCAAAATAAATGGGTTCATAAGCAGTCAGTTTAAAAGAGTTGTCGGTTATGAAGACAATACTTACTTTTGGAAAAATAGTTGTTGTGATGAAAGACCTCTAAAGCTGAAATGCCCTAATTTATATGTGTTAGAGAAGAACAAAGACCACAAAGGGGCGGACGTAAAAATACAAAGTAGGTGTTATCGGGATGAAATAGGTGTTGCCTATACATGAAAAATAAGTAAAAAAAATCAAAAAATTTCCCACTGTAGACAAACAAATTAGGTGTTGTCTGTGCCACGCCGAGAACCCCTTAACGTGGAGCTGCATGTTTCATGTAATGATCGAGAAAGATTATGGATGTATTTGTTTAGCTTGAACATTTGTTGTTTTCCTGATCACTTTTCTTTTTCTAATAGATTTGCTTATCACACCAAGGTATTTTGTATGTTTTCATGGATTTGAAAGAATTTATGTTGTATTTTGGATTTGTGTTTAATTTGGATTTTGTATGGTGTTAAATATAAGGAATAACAATGTATTTTTATTGATTTCTCTATTATAGCATCATTACTTTCACTTTTTCCTATTAGAGAATTGTATTTTATAAACATAAACATTGAATTGAGCAAAAAATAATACAAATGGTAAAATGGTCATTTTTCTAATTCAGCATAGCAATTCGGAGGTTCCAACCAAATAACATATTAAAAATTCAGACCCTCTTAGAAATTTAAACATTTTAAAAATTAAAAGCTTAAAAGTTCAAATCCGATCAAACAGTCCTTAAGTATATATATATTTTTTCTGTTTGAAAACCAAATCATTGTGAGTTTTCCAAATATATAAGGGTCCGAGGTTCCTTTCCTTTACAATGGATGTTTAGCGAAAACACAATTGCTAATAATGTGCTTAATTTCTTTTCTAAATTTTAAAATTTCTTTTATCCACTCTTTTTTTAAACAAAAAAATGTTTTACTTTGACAAATAACCGCCACTTAACAAATAAAAACTATATCAATACGCTAAGTAACTTTTTATGGCATATTATTATTATCAAATGCCGAACATACCAAAATGTGTATTATCATAATAAGAGTATAAAGTCATACGTTGCAACAGTTTGCCACAAAAAAGTTGCCCCTTATTTGAACATTACTTTGAGATATACATTTAAAACATAAAATCTACAACAAAATTCTGATTTATAAAACTATAGATTTTGAAAAATTGTTCTAGTTGTCTTATGATTAACCAAATTTTATCAAACATTCACATAGATGATTATTTGATTATAAGAAGTTAAAACAAAATAATCTCAACAAAGACTATCTCATTTTTTTGTTTTATTATAGTTAGGGGTGAGAATCAGTTCAGTTAATAGATTTTTTAGTTTATTCGAATCGGTTTACTCGATTTGAATTTTTTTCGGTCCAATTCGAAAACCAAACCAAATGAAACTTGAATTCCTCTAGAGCAAACCGAAAACCAAATTATAATTCAGTTTGGTTCGGTTTGGAAATTGAGAAAACTAAATATATATATTTTTTAAATTAATGTCGCAATTTTACAAACATAAATTACAAAGGTTCAAACATAAAAAACTAAAATTCCAAACATAAAAATCTAAAGTTTCTATAATTGTTAGGTAGGATTGAAAACGAAAAGTGAAGTGTACGTGTGAATCATGAATTCGTGAGGGTTATGAGTCGTGAATACAAAATAGTAAAAATCCTAAATTGGTAAAAGGGCTAAAATGTTTTTTATATTGATTATTTAATACTTTAAGTTAATATATTAAATATAAAATATATTTTTGTAATTAATGCAATTGGAATTCTTGGTTTGCTATGGTCTAAAGTTGATGAGACCAAAACACAAACCAAAAACCAAATTCAAAATTCAGTTTTGTCTTCAACCAAACAAACAACCGAATTTAAATATGATTTGGTTTGAAATCAATTTCAGTTCGATGTGATATTTGGGTATTTTGGTTTCGGACCAAATAATTTTCACCCCTAACTTCAATTTGATTATTAAATACTACACATAGACACCATAATATGCGTCTTTATTAGATATAAGCACTACCAAACTAAGTTAATTTCCAAATTGTTCAATAAGACGGTAAAAATTGGTAATATTTAATTATTTGTACGGATATTTGATCGGTGATTATTTTTCTATTTTGGCAATATATATATATATATATATATATATATATATATATATATATATATATGTGTGTGTGTTAGTATTAACCGGTAAGAAAGTAAAATACTAAAATATTATTTCATAAATTACTAAAATTGAATATATTTAATATAAATTATTAAAAATATAATATTATGGTTTATTACATCAATAAAAATTAGATTTTCATTGCATAAATTTGTATTTAACTTTTTGAAATAAGTCAGAAAAAATAAACATAAATATTAAAGTTGATAATATGAAAGCATTATATATTTTATTATTTTTCTAGTTTAACCATTCAATTTTAACTTATATTAAAAATCCATTTGATTTTGGTTTCTATAATTTAGTATAGAATATAATTTTCATATAAATACATGGACTATTTCTATAATATAGTCTAAAAACATAAAAGGTTTTACTAAAACTAAATCAAGACCAAAATTGAATGATATTTAAAAAAGAAATTATAAAACAAAACTGTAGAAACCAAAATCGAATGTTTTTCCAAAAATAAAAAATATGAACTTTGTTTTTGGCATATATCTATATATTTGTTTATAGATGACAAAATATTATAAATTTTACTACATTAATTTTTTTTTTAAATAAACACTAAAAATTAAAAACCAAAAATAAATAGTTGTTGCTTCATATGATTTTTTATTTTTTTTATTTTTTTTTATCTTGTTAGCTTTATAAATAAAATGTTTGACTGATAGGATTTTTCTCATATGGACCTAACCCGCATATTGTACTTTGTGCATTTTCCTTGTATCGTCGTTACCTCCCTTTTCAATTTCCACAATCTTCTTCCTTCTTTATGATTCGTAGATTAAATGCAATAGTCTATGAATTTAACACTACTCCTAGAATCTTCGTCCTGATCCTAAAGCATTATTCCTTCGTCTCTTTGTATTATTATAAATTGTGATCAATGCAGGCAACAATAACGACGTGAAATAAAAATTCACAAATACAAAACAAGTAATCGCAATTACCACAGCTGAATTTGGTTTCGCGTTGATCGAGTTTGAAATAAATCAGGTGAAAAATGGGAGAGAAAATGGTGAAGTATGGAATCATCGGTGTAGGAATGATGGGGAGAGAGCATCTCTGTAATCTGTACCATCTCCGGGGCGAAGGCGTCGCCGTCGTTTGTGTCGCCGATCCAAACCTCGCTTCTCAACAGATTTCGACGGAATTTGCCGAGTCCTTTGGCTGGCCACTCAAGGTACAACTCCATATTGCAGAAATACGTATGAATAGATGTGTGGTATATGCATACATGTACAACTCCCTACTGCTGCAATTCAACAAACACCTACATCAGTTTCATCCATTCATCGCTGCATCCTGCATGCATATACTGTTACGACGAACTAAAATTTTACAAACTGATTTTTTTTAATTTTACAAACTGACTCATTATTTAAAATTTTTCATTTTACATAAAAATTGTCAGATATCTCGATTAATTGGAAAACTATTTGCATACATATATATGATGCTATAAGATCTGAATCAACTCTGTTCAGGAATCATTGAGACATATTCTCGTTCTTTCAAGAATTGATAACAAATTTAGTATCGCTCCTATGAAAAGTGTAAAACATTTTCATTTTTAGAAGGTATAAATTGGAGATTTATTTGGTATCTAATGAAATTTGATTCACCACTAAAATGTTCATGAATCACTGGTGACAACAAATTTGGTGGGTCCTGTGAAAAGTGTAAAACTTTTCATTTTTAGGTGGTGAATCGGATATAGTATTGCTTTCAAAATATAAACCTGTAATTTAATTCACGAATTTTAATACCTAGATTGTTGTAACAGGTATTTTCAGGACATAAAGAACTTCTAGAGAGTGGGCTATGTGATGTTTTAGTTGTTTCAACTCCAAACATGACTCATTATGAAATCTTGATGGACATTCTCAACCACCCAAAAAGTCATCATGTATTAGTTGAGAAGCCATTGTGCACAACTGTACAAGATTGTAGACAGGTAATTTCCGTAAATACCCTTCCTCATAAATTCAAACAGGACCAAAAGAAAGATTATGATTGGTTATTTACTTATAACTTATTCTTGCTTGAACTTGAATTAATAAATTTTAGGTGATAGAAGCTGCAAAAAAGAGACCAGATATGTTGGTGCAAGTTGGATTGGAGTACAGATACATGCCACCTGTAGCTAAATTGATGGAGATTGTTAATGGTGGAAGATTGGGAAATATTAGAATGGTTTCCATTAGGGAACATCGGTTTCCGTTTTTAGTTAAGGTAATTGTGTTTGTTTGTTTTAGGTTTCTTGTAAAGATTAATGTTCTTGATCACCAATGTGTTTTTACCTTTTTTTTTTATAGGTGGATAACTGGAATAGATTTAACTGTAACAGTGGAGGTACTATGGTTGAAAAATGCTGCCATTTTTTTGATCTTATGAGGCTTTTTGTTGGTGCAAATCCAGTTCGTGTAATGGCTTCTGGAGCCATTGATGTTAATCATAAAGATGAAGTCTATGATGGGAAGGTATTGTGTTCTTGATATGCTATTTGTGAAAAGTTTGACTTCCAAGGTCAAAATCCCTAATATTTACCTTCGAATCGACATCTATTTATGTTTTTTTTTTTGTGATTTCAGGTGCCTGATATTATCGATAATGCATATGTTATTGTTGAATTTGATAATGGGGCAAGAGGGATGCTTGATCTTTGTATGTTTGCAGAAGGAAGTAAAAACGAACAAGAAATTTCGGTTGTTGGTGAAATAGGAAAGGTATTATATACAACAAATTTTGAAATCTTTTGGATCAATTTCATTAAGTCAACGTTAAAGTCAAAATGAAAAAAAAAAAAAAATACTAAAAGTGCAATGCTATAATTGGTAGATTTTTCAAAATGTGATGCCTTAATAAGGAAGATCTTAAAGATTGAAATGTTTTTTTGGTTGTTAAATTTTCAGGGCGAAGCATTTGTTCCTGAGAATCTTCTTCGATATGGTGTGCGAGTTGAAGGTAGAGAAGGTGTAAGAACCATGAGAGTTGAAGATGATAGAATCAAGTACGTTTATTAATTTATTAATTTATATTTTCTTATCAATTTTTTAAACTATTTATATGTTTTTTTTTTTTTTTTGATTTATGGATAATTTGTTTTTTTAGATATGATGGGTTGCACCATGGTTCAAGTTACTTGGAACACTTGAACTTTTTGGCTACGGTCAAGACCCAAGGGAAGAAAACCGTGGCGGTTGATCTGCATGATGGGTTGATCGCGGTGGCTATTGGTGTTGCAGCACAGCTTTCGATTGAGTTGGGAAGATTTGTGAGTATTAAGGAAGTTATGACATGATAATTTGATGTTGATTTATTTTTGATTATTTATTGTCAAAAGAACATTGGGAGCTTCAAAAATTATCATGTGTATGCTACTCAAAGAAATGGCATGTATTTTGATCAATTTAATTATAATCATGTTCATTGTGCTTGTATTAATATTTTCAAACAAGGGTGTGTGTATGGATTGGACGTTGGGAACTAAACCGAAACCAAAAGTAAGAAACAATGGTTGATGGTTTGGTCTCAAAAGGATTAGATACTTGAGTTTGGGTTAAATGTAAAAATATACACATACGATTATTTTACGAATTTGAAAAGGTAAAAGAAAATTGATACGGTTTTTGTTTTGTGATCAAAACGAGAACCCGAAATAAATATATTTAGAACCACGATAAGAAGAGTACATGTTGAATAATTATGAGACCACTTCATAAATATGCACGATATATTATTAAATCCAGTTATTATGGTAAGAGTATAAATTATTGATGGACCGATTTATAGAATATTTACTTAACTTGTGGGTTGTGTTTCCGGTTTGACTCAAGATACTCAAGATCCCTTTCATCTCTCACATTAGGGTTTATCTCCATCTATAAATATATGTGATGAGGAGCAGATCAATACACACGAAAATACACATGTAAATTCGTTTAGGGTTTGTTGAGGGATTTTAGAAAGAGTTTTTGAGATGAACTGGAAAACTCTTCCTAGTCTCTAGATCCGAGAATCTCAATGGAACAAGGTATGTAATCATTCTTTCATGTTTAAGTTTTCTTTTAATCAGATTCGAGATTAAAGATCCAAAATTATGCTTCCAGGTTTTATGTTTTGGTTAAGAAAATAACTAACAATTGGTATAAGAGCCTACTTGAATCTGTTATTAGAAACTTGGATTGGTTTTAGTTCTTTTGGTCTTCAAACTAAAACATACATGCATGATATATGTTATTTTACTCTTCATATTGTTGTTGGCATATTCTTTCTTAACTCTTCCTTATAATATTATGATTTGTGTATGTACTTCGCTTTTGCATATGTATGTGATTCGGGTTGATTTAAAAAAAATACATTTTATATAAAAATTACATCTCTTTGTAAACCTTTTGATTCTTCAATTGGATCTTAACCTACGTATTAATTTTTTAAGGTTTTAACTTCTTAAGGGTAATTCAAATATTATATATTATATATTGATTTTGTCAAATCTTTTTTAGAAGAAGGAAATCATCCTTATATATATTTTTGGACAGTGACAGCATGTATATTTATTTTGTTCTATTTTTTGGAACTTTAGATATGCATGTATCATGTATTAGTCACTGTGATGCTGAATACTAAAAGTTTGACATTTCATTGTATTATGTTACAATATATTTAGGTAAAAGATGTCCAAGTCATTTTTTTAAATGACATTTTAAGCTGCAAATTGTCTCAACGTGACCACAATATTTGGATTTGACAATTTTTTTGGGTTTTTTTTTTCAAGACAGTAATCAAATGTATATTTATTCCATTTTTTGGGACATGTATATGTACTTATGTACATATTTGGTCATATACTCTATTTAAACTAAAGTAACATCTTGGCCTTTAATTATCCTCATATGTAAATCAATGAAATCCATATATATTATGGCCGATTAGTCATATTTTTTATGGCATTAGCAAATTTTGTTTCCATTTATTCTTCATAAGGTTCATACAATAAAATTTTATGAACTAACAAGGTGTTTTAATGCAAATTAAAATAATTTGCGATAATGTTTGCGGCATAAGACTAATCCATGTCTTTAAGATGCATTTTTGTGCATATATTTAATTTATTATTCATTGTTGATATGGATTAGTCCATGGATTTTTAAACACATCTGGTTGTAAAAAAAAATTATAACATCGACCTATGTCAACACATCTTGACATTTTGTGTACAATTTGCTTACATCTAAATTTTTATCTCGTAGTTTTAGAGATTGATTTAAATTATAAACCATTGTTTGAAGAGACGTATCTTGTTGATTTATTCAACTTGTCGCCTATTTAAATTATTTTTAAGGTTGTCAATAAATTCAATTATAAAAATTTATATTTTGATTTATGTGTTTATTAATGCGGATATCAATCCACCCAAAGGTAGGTTGATATTTGGCTGAATGAACACATATATAATAATAAACATGAAACCATTTTTAAGGCTACATGTCACTAATAAGTCAATCCAAAGAGAGGTTTATTAATTGGCATGATTTATTGTTAATGTTTATTATTATATTTTATGGTTTTTGTGTTTATTAATGCGTATATTAATCGACCCAAATGCAAGTTAATATTTGGCCGAATAAACACATGTTTGATTATAAATATACAACAATTTTTAGGTTACATGTCGTTAATAAGTCAATCCAAAAAGGGGCTTATTAATTGACATGATATATTGTCAATTCTTATTATTAAAATTTATAGTTTATGTGTTTATTAATGCGGGTATTAGCCGATCCGAAGGTAGACGGATATTTAACCGAATAAACATATATGTGGTGATAAACATGTGGTGATTTTTTTTTTGTTTCATGTAATTAATAAGTCAATCCAAAGAGGGGCTTGTTAATTGACATGATTTATCGTCAATGTTTATCTCTAAAACAAGTATATCTCTTGCAAGTTAGTATTATTGTTCAAAGACTTGATATTAATGTTGTGTTATACCTTATAAAGATGTCATAAATTGAATTTATTGATTATTGTTTATGGATTAATGAGCATAAAAATAGATTAACTTATGTTTGAATTATGGTATTATATTTGTTAACATTGATCACATTTATTAGTTATGTACTCATTGAGATTAATTTTAAGGAATGGAATGAGGGCATTACGTTAGTTTTAAATTGTATGGGTATTGACTTTGCATTTTTGGATAGAGCAACATTCTTTGAGGATGTTGAGTTTTGGGGAGAAACAAGGTTAAAACATTGTCTTTAAGGAGGAATCAATCTTGATTCCTATTATTGCTTTCGTTAGTATGCAAATTATGGAAAAGTGATCGACAATGTTATTCAATCTCCTATTCAGAATACACAAACTATACAACCTCAACTTTGGATATCATATGCGTGGCACCACATTTTTCATCAAATTTTTTTTTTATCTCTTTTGGTTTTGAGGTAAATACAATAGATGATTTTGTGTATCATAGATTAAGTGGGAGTAAATTTATCTTTTTGATTTTGGGTAGATATATATGCAACTCAAGTTTGGATCATAAGAAAGCAACCAAATGGATTTGAGATATCTATATATAACAAAAGTCTATATGCTTAACTATAGGAAATTCAGATGTTTTGGAAATCATTTTTATTAAGAATTTGATTTTATTAGATGCCAAAATGGTTACTGATCCATATCAGGATACTTTTACATTTTAGCATTATAAACCATTTCATGGAATAGACTTCGGTAGCTTCTTCCATAATGGCAGCATAATTTGTAGCATGGAATATGGTTGCGGAAATTTGTCACGAGGCTACACATTATTGGTATTGAAAGACCACTAAAGTTGTGATAATAAGTCAACAATGTTATATTCCAACAACAGAAGTTCTATTAAGTCAAAGCATATTGACATCAAGTTTCCTTCTATTAACACAATAGTGCAAAATAGAAATATATATAACACATATGAACAAACTCCATGAAAGAGTATCCACTCATAAAGGGATTACCTCCCTAGGTCTTTCATGAGCATACTAAACATGTTGGTGTGATATTTGGTTTTAGTGGGAGTTTTTTGGTGCTTTATGTTTTGTTTAAGATCAATTATGTTTTTATGTACATAATTAAGAATTCAATTAACTCCATTATTAGTTGCACTTATTTGAAGTTTGATCTCACTTCAATTTAAAGAGGAACTCATTGGAAACCGATTTAGATTTTAAAACCACACATCATGTTTAGTCTATGTCGTTAGTTATATATGTATATGTGACCATTGATAGGATTAGCTACGTAAATTGTAATGAATGCCTCTTTGATCCTATACTATTATGATTAGTGGACAAGATTGTTTAAGGGTATCAATGTTATAATAACATTCATTAAAGCGCTTATACAGTTATACGTACACTTATATATTCGTGATCCAGTGGGAGATAGCTGAATAATTATGGGACCACTTCATAAATATGTACGATATATTATTAAATTCATTTACTATGGTAAAAATATAAATTGTTGATGGACCGATTTATAGAATATTTACTTACATTGTGGGGTTCCCGGTTTGACTCAAGATCATCAAGATCCCTTCCAACTCTCATATTATGGTTTATCCCCAGCTATAAATATATGTGATGAGGAGCAGATCAAGACAGACAAAAATACACATGTAAATTCATTTAGGGTTTGCTGAAGGATTTTAGAGAGAGTTCTTGAGATCAAGTGGAAAGTTCTTCCTAGTCTCTAGATCCGAAAATCTCAATGGAACAAGGTATGTAATCATTCTTTTATGTTTAAGTTTTCTTTTAATCAAATTTGAGATTAAATATCCAAAATTATGCTTCCGCATGTTATGTTTTGATTATGAAAATAACTAACAGTACATATAGACGTAGAACTTTACTGAATTGATTTAACTAAATATAGTATATGATTGATCCTTGTTTGGGTAATCAAAAAATAAGAATAACTTGAGCCATTGTTGATAAAAGGTGAATAATGCCCTCTCACATACTCATAGATAATGACGGCTAACCTGTCTAAACTAGACGATCTTTAATCCATTCCACAATTGTAGATGTGGAAAATGAGAAGGGTATAGATAGTTGTGAGAGTGGTTTGAAACTGAATAAAATGTAATGGGTATTCATAAGGTTATTTTAAATATAAAAATTAAAACATAAAAACCCTTGAAAAATTAGTTGTATCAGTGAGGTGCGAGAATGGTATGAAAATGAGTAAGATGTAATGGATATTTATAGGCAAGAATCTCATCTCTTTTTGGTACATCCACACCAATGTGGTGTGAGATTGTCTCATATTAAGAGCATGACATTGTGCCCGGTGCAGCATGGCCACATCAGACATCAGCCATGTTTCCCCACCCCGTTTACATACCTTTCACCCCAAGGGTAGGGTGTCATTTTTCACCTTCCTCCAAAACTATAACAAGATATCTCTTCCACATCAACGTCCACTCTTTCTTCTCATTACATCCTTATACCAACTTCAAAGATATATTGCTAAATTCACATGATATTGTTTTGGTAACTTGTACTATGTGCAATACATATACTATTGGTTCATACATATATATATATATATATATATATATATATATATATATATATTGTTTCGTAATAGTCTTAAGTGTGTGGGGTGGTAAGGATTGTCACACCCTCATTCTATTCTAAATAGCTTCTTAGGTGTTGTTTATTTTTTCTAAAAAATATTTCTTATCACTTATTGTTGCATTGTGTTGTACTTGACTTGACGATTCGCAACTGTTTGTTTTCATAAGACTTCTAACTTAAAAGGGTGTTTGGATGTGTTCAAAACATTATTATCGCAACTGAAAGTTGCAAATAGACCTGACAATGGGGCGGGTTTGGAGCGAATCGACCTTG